CTACCGGTACACCGGGCACGAGGGGAGGACCGGGGCAGGCCGTGGTTGTCTCCCTGCTTCGACTCTGTCGCGATGGTCGTGTCGCTGTTCGCCGCGATAGTGAAGGAAAAGATAACAAATCCTCCCTGAAAGTCACTTGAGGTTTTTCTTTCCCCCCTCTTGAAAACAGGTCTGAGGTAGTGTTCGGTCATCAGAAGTTGGTGGTGAGGAAATTCGGCTTTAATTTTGTTCTTCCCGTGGCTAAAATATGCGTCTGGTTTTTTTATTATTGAGGATTTTTTATCCTTCTTTTCCCCCTTTGCTCCTCGGGGTGGCCAGGCTGGTTTGTTTGGGGTTTGACCTGAGACTTCAGTTCTGAGCTTTCTCATGGCTTAAAAACAGGTTTTGAGGTGTTTCTTTTTTTGTCTGTTGATGGTTGGGACATACACGATAATTAAACTATTCATTTAACAGCTCATAAAAGTGAAGGTAGGGAAGGAATTAGGATTATTTGCTCACCAAAAGTGGAGATATTGTCACTGCTGCATCTTGGTTGTGTCTGTAGTAACAAAAACCCAACAAAGCCACTGAAGAACTCTTCAGTATTGGTTAAACAGTCCAACTTTTCTCCATGTAAACATCATGGAATGTTCAGCTCAGTTCATTCCACGGGTAACCCCGTTATTAACAAGCAAATGTACACTATCCACCTTTTAAAGGATGTTTAAGGAGGAGCTGAAAGCTTTAGGTAAGTTTTTATCCCAAACCCAGTAGGATTGATTTTTATTTTCCCCCCCCCCTTTTACTTGCAAAACCTTCTGCATCGAAGTGTGAGTGAAGGAAACTGGAAGCACATCCAGCCCTGAGGAGCCACAGGTGTTGCAGTGCAGGACTGAGGAGGTTTTATCCTGTCCTGGGGGGGTTATCCCAGGACAAACTGAATCACTTTTGTGTGCCTGGAAGAATTCAGAACCTGAGCTGGACCCCAGTGGTGACATGCTCAGGTCAGTGTTCGTAGGAGACTCAGAGATCCCATGGGCTCTTTATTTTCTGTGTGTTTACAGCTTCAGAGTTGGGGTTGGCTAGACTTTCTCCAGTTTGAGCATGGAGAGATGAGAATTGTTTAATACTAGCAGTAAAATCTTGTCCGTGCACAGCCAGGCAATATATTAATGGATTAAAACACACTTTTAATAACATCTTCATGTTTAAAGCTTTAATGGGTTGTGATCACAACTCGCAGGACAGAACATGTGGCCAGAAGAAGAAAAACCACCCCAAAATAAGCCTCATAAGCTAAAAGACCAAACAAGAGGATTATTACTTGGTCCTTTTTTTTTGTTTTGTCTAAACATGTTTGAGGCCTTTGAAGTAAAAAGAAAAGGTCTGGAGAGCACGTTCAGGTACTGTTTTGGCTGTTAGTCTGCCCTCGCAGACAGGGAGGATTTGATGGGGGTTGTTTTTCATCAGTGTGTCTTTGTGTTTCTGCAGACTCTTGTGCTCCTCCTGGTCCTCATTTTGGCTTTAGAAACGTGGGGTTTGGGGAGGGTGGGGTGAACACTCTCAGGGGTGGAAGAATGAGTATCGTTTCCTCCGGAGCTGAAGCACAACAAAGTCCCTGGAAGTGCTCAGACTTGTCCCTTTCAACAGCTCGGGAGAGATAAGATCAGAAATCAGGTGTTTTTAAACATTCTGGGGCGAAATTTTGCTGCCTTCAACAAATTATTTCAGCTTGTTGTGTCTTTTGGCAGGGCCCCACTAAATAATAGCTTTAAAGCCTCCAAACTGATCCCATTTTGCTTAATTAAATATTACCACTGCGATTATAATTAAAGTGAATTAATAAATATCTTTGTTGAAGCTGATGAGCATGGGAGACATAAACGACTTTGCTGTTGCATGTTCTGGTGTCTTTTTGGTGTCCTGGTGTTTGACAAGATCAGCTAAGCAATGCTGAGTACCTAAATGTTTAGGAAAATGTGATTTATTTAGTCTGTAAGGACTTTCTTTCTCAATGGATATTTAATGAGTAGTTTGAGAGGATGTTACAACTGAGGAGTGTGACAAAAGATGATGAAGGGAAGACTTGTCTGCTCTTTTCTCTACAAAAACTGTATTCCCATTGTTGACTTAAATAAACGTAAGAATAGATTTTCGTAAGGACTTTAAGACAAATTTAAAGGTTGCCCAGGGAAGCTGTGGCTGCTCCATCCCTGGGAGTGTTCCAGGCCAGCTTGGAGCACCCTGGGCTGGTGGAAGGTGCCCCTGCCCATGGCAGGGAGTGGGACTGGATGAGCTTTAAATCCTTCCAACCCAAACCAGTCTGGAAATCCATGAAATTCTCATTTCTGACACCTTTTTCCACTCTTCCAGGCAGGGAGTTGGTGGTGCCCTGGGCAGCAGCTGTGTGCCCAGCCAGGCACATGATGGGGCTGTGTTAGCTGAGCTGCTGCAGTGGTAGGAGGAGGCTGAGGGGCAGCTCTTAGGGTTTTGGTCTAGACTGTGGAGACTGGATTTAATTTCCAGTTCTAACAAAGCCTTTTTTGTCTGGGCAAAATGACTTGTTGTTGCTCAGGTCCCATCTGGAATCACAGCTCAGTCCCAGAGCTGGGGCTGAGTGTTCTCAGCCAGAGCCACTTCCTCATTCTGAAAGGGAAAGCAAATCAGCATTGCCAAGAGATTC